ATTCATCCAATATCAATTTTTTATTAAGAATAATTATATATATATATATAATTATCATCTAAAATCATTGCCGGGCGCGAGATTTAAGATATAGCTTAGCTTCAATTAAAAATATAGAGATTTCTAGTATTTATCCACGATATTTCTCCAGAATCAAATATTATACATAAGACCAATTAAATTTATTAAAATCTATTCAATAAGTGGCAGGCATAAATATGTTAGATAAATCTTAAATATAGAATCATTTTATTCGAGAAATATTTCATTTATTTATAGATATCTTAAATACCTAATCGTATATTAAGAACCAAATAAAAAATAATTTCATAAGATATGCATAAAGAAATAAGTAGATAATTTTCTCGGAATAGAATCTACATAGAATCTATAAAAATCATCAATAAAATAAGAATTATAAGAATATGAAGATATTCAGAAAGAAAAGAAGAATATCTTAAATCCCGCCCCTTTTAAATTATTTATAATTCTAATACCATCCTTCCAATTCTAGAGATTTTTTGAAATATTTATTCGTATTCCTATATTTTCTATATTATAAATATCTCAATTTCTATTAATTTTTATATTATTTCCTATGAGAATGCCAAATATAAATAGATTATAAATTTATTAGTGGTCGCATGCGTGAATTGTCGAAGAAATATCTAGCATAGATTTTATAATGCAAAAGAGGTTTGTAAAATACAATTTTAATTTAAGCATCGAATTCCTAATCAATGAACTTACCAATGAGACGAGAAGGAGACCATCAAGAAGCCAGGAGACTACCCTACCCATTATCGTTTCTTTTGCCACCGCTGGTGTTGCAGTTGAGTCCAGCATCTCGCGATGGCGAGCGCGCTCGTGCATAGTGCGTCTGATCCGTTCTGCTTTTCATGGATAATAGCAGTTCGGTGTTGTCCCTGCGCCGCTGTTTGCGCTCCTCTGTTGTTTGTGTTTGCTGATGGCCGGTCCCCCCACCATTCGGATCGATCCTCAAGGCTCAAGGCACCTTTCCGGAAGATGCTGCTGACTTACACCTGTGGACAGGAGCAAGATACGTATATATATATATATTATATATATATATATATATATCTGGAAGGAGCTGCTGGCATGCAAATACGGCTCTCGCATGCGACACTGCGAGTCGGAAGTTGCAAAGAAGTGTCCGCTGAGCTTTTAGTTTCTCCAGGCTCTTCGAATCCTCTTCGTGGCAGCTACCAAGAATCGCGGCTAAAGCTGCCGCGGGGAGCGACGGCCTGGCAAGGAAAGTTTGTCGAAAGGGTCTGGCAATTGGAGGTTTCAGCCAGCTGCATACATGGCCACGGAAGGACTCAGGTCAAACTATCTTCTTACCTCCTTGTTGTGGAGGCGACGCCGATTCATTAACTAATTGCAAGCCACAACAATACAGACCCAGTGCCACAGCAAGAAGAGACCAGAAAAGAAATACCAGTGCTCTGACACTTGTCGGCATGGTGCAGTACGGTCGAGAAATCCAGGAGTCTACTTCAGATTCAGGGTCTGACCATTCCCTATCTATCACGCTTTCACATCGCGGATTTCCAGCACCGAAATAGTCACTTGTGCCGTCTTTAGTCGCTGCTCTCGATGTATCTACAGCCAGACCCAATGAAGTACGAAAGGCCATGAGGTTGGCTTGACCTTGTGGGGCGAGAAGTCAAACAACAAACGCTCGAAAACGAGACCCTCATTGAAGCCGCCGAACATGAGCGTTCGCCGACCACGCCCATCTTATCTGGGGACTTTCCTGTCGACACCAAATGCAAATGCACCGAATGCAAGCATCCCTCCGAAGCAACCCCACAGGCTGCAATCGCACCGTCTTAATTGACGAAGCAGGGCCGGGCCTGATGCTGCACGTGCTGAGCAGCTGCGAGGCTGTCCGGCCTAAGTCTCTCATGTTAGCACTGCCTCATCTCGACCCATTGTGCGCGTTTAGGCTTCCGCGATTCGCCTTGAATGAACCTTAAGTCTCTTGTCTGGAATGACAGAACTTCACAATGTCGCCTCCTCAGAAGAGTTACAGGCTGCTATACCAGTCGGCTGGCCGTGGAGCAAGTCGTTGTTGCAACGGCTGCTGGACAGGAGCTATTCGCTGTAGGCAACCCCAGCGCCTTCGAACAACTTGTGCCAATGATACGTATCCCGCTAAGGTCCGTGCTCAGGAGTCAATCCTCCAAGCCCCGATGTAAGCATGTGTAACCTGAGGCCTCGTATCCAGACCTAGAGCCTAAGACTCCTAAGACGGAGTAGAGCTAAGCTACACGCAGCCTCAACTGACGAGGAGCTCAAAGAAAAGGCCTGGCTGAGCGCTAGGTCATGTCGACTTTGTGTGTGGCAAAGTCCTTTGCTCATTGAAATTTTGAAGTCTTTCGAAAACATCAACATGTGACTGTGCGTGTGTGAGTTCTATGTGTCTCCAGTTTGTTGCACATACTAGCAGAAATCACAAACAACGTTCAGCGGCATCTTGCAGATTGACGCTTAAGGATTTTCATGGATTCCAGGGTCATTAGATACCAGACCTCGACAGACATTCCGCACGAAAAGGATCAAATTCAGCCGCGTGATCCGGCATTGGATCTTTCAGGATTCCGGTGCAGGTGCCAGCACCCCGAAGAGTCTCCCAGTCAAAACGTATTCAAAGAACAGACAAGCTTGAAGGCACTGGCCATCTCGATCTTGGCACACAGACCCGGTGCCTTCTTGGACAAGGCCTTCTTCGAAGAGAACCACGGAGCCTAGGAACAAGGGTTTTGGGGGTTCCTTACTCTAATTATGGTATAACATACCCCAAACCCTATTCTAATTATTAAAGCCCCTAAGTCTGCATCCGGCGGCCCCCTGGCAAGTGCTCTCTGTATGGCTTCCATCCGACGGTTCCCGCAAGCTCCTAGCCTTGGCCTGCCGAGGAACCGCCGCGTCTATCTCGCGAGACATAGTTTCCGTCAGGGTTCCTTGTTTTAGTTCTACATAGGATACGAAGCCTATTCTAACTAGTTAGCTAGCCAGCAGTAGCTTGAGAAGCAAGGCTCCAATCCTGCACGCAAAGCTTTCTGGCATTTGCGACTGGTACCGGAATCGAAATGCTGCAAACCCTGATCTCGTCATGCAGTGCCCGTGTGAGATCTTGATGGCTAGAATGGCACGGAAACGGTTCGTTCAAGCTTCAACCTGCTGGAAAATGTGCTAGAGGAAGGCAGTGCAAGCTGTCATTTCGGTGACCGTCAGCTCTATGCTGCTATGTTTGACTTCGCGGTTTTCGTGTGAGCTAGTGAGACAGAAAGGTAGAGCGATCCTGTTCGAGTTAACACGATGTGCATTAGAGCCGCTTCTCGCTGGGGGTCAGCATCTACAGGCTGGGCACAACAAGCTCAGGTGCTGTCGCAGCTGCGAGGACCATGCGCTACACAAGGCGTCATAAGGCATGCATTATGAAATGTCGAAACTGGAACTTTCCAGCATCAGCACATGCACTTTAAATCAATAGACGAATCTGTTCCGCAGCAGCATCGCCAGAAGAGCCATGACCATGAACTGCAAAGCGGAATGAGACCAAGCAACATCGGAAGTTTCATGGTGCGATTTCTGAAAATGCAGCTGCCACTGCAAGTCAACCTATCGCCGAACACTCGAAGCATGCGATGCCGTCACAGACCCCTGAAGTATCTAAATATCCTAAAGTAAGAGATGTCTCGGACACACTGATGATCACTGTGCAGAGTATCCGAGGATCGGCTTCGAGACATGGCGTAGGTCGAAAGGTGCCCTCCACACTGCTGTAAGCAGATCTTGGACGTGTTAAATACAACTGATGCGATTGCTCGTGGTGCATGATGGCATGGCCCCAGCATAACTACGGCTAAGCCGTCTTGTATATCGTAAGGAGAAGAATCGCATCTGGAGCTCTGGCACGCTGTAGTGCTCTGGTTTGCCTGCACGTATGTTACAGAGCTTTGCTGCTCGGCCCAACCGCACGAAGGCGCGCACATGTTCGCGAGTTGGGGATGGTTCGTCGTCAACACCATCCACCGTACCACTTCACATGTAACGACAACTTTCAAAAATGACGTGCTGCAGATGATAGCAGATGTGCTCTTGTGGATCATGCTCGAACTCAAATTTGTACTACCCGACTCGGTAACTCGAATTCGGCAAACGGATCCATCACCGATTCCATCTGCACGGCGCCAACGGCGGCAAGCCAAAGGTAGGGCCTTGCGATGCAAAGAGAATGCAAGGCAGCCTATCAGCATTGAACACGGCTATTACCCCAAAAACCATGCGAGCAACCTGGACCTGCCACAACACCATCCAATTTGTGTGTGGGGTTGAACAACCCACTGTTTGCACGGCTTTTTGCTACTTTACCAGGTTAGCGTCCGCGTGGTGGGTCGAAGCGGGCAGATCATCTAGGAATATCTAGGGACTCGAGAGAGAGACTGGAGAGGCATGCGGTCTTAGGAGGTCTCGGGATATTAGGGGCTATGGCGATTGCGCAGCTGCTTGGAACTTTGTTCTGGGGCCAGGAGCTTCCATCTGAGCTGCTGGGATGTGCTTTCATGCGATGAGCCCCTGCTTTCCTGCAACTACCAAAGCCGGCCGCAGCCAATATGTCGAAGAGTCTACTTAGCCGAACTATACCTGCACTAGTAACAGGAGTGTAAGAGACGATTGCATCCTGGACCCGACCCAGATTTGAGACAGCCTCTGCAACTGTGAGACGTGCTCCTCTGGCACTGCCATGTCCTGAAGGCTGCGGGCGCCAGGGCTTGCCAAGTCGTGCGCCTGAACTTGCTCCACAGGATTGCATGCAGTTGCATGTCGACTGCTAGTGAACCCTTGGCCAGGAAACCCTCGTGCACGCCGGAGGCATCTGCAATGTCACTGACTGGGGTCGTCCTGCTATCATGTTCAGGCCTCCTTGGCAGAGTCATGTTCCAGCTCATCGGGTAATAGCACCTTCCACACCGATGCAAACAATGAATGAAACCAGTCCAGCAGAGCGAAAGTTAGTTGCGGTCATACCGCTTGATGCAGCCACTCGCACTGCACTGCCTACTCAGACCAGAACTGAGGCTCAGGCCTCTTGCACCGGCGATATCGCTTCCCATGAGGCCGACGGAGCCAAGGCCTGTTTTCAGCGGCTGGGCATCCCTCTGCCGTCAATTTATAACCACCTTTGTAAGTGCACAGAGCCAGGGTTTGCCGACATCCAGCATCATCCGGCCGAAGTGTCCCCGAGTGCAGGTCAAAGTCACCGATATGGATCCATGTCGAAATAGTTCTTTGCTGCGGGAAGGGGGTTGTGGATTCGGCTGAGGACGTCTTGGGATTCTGTTTCCAGAATGTCAAGGCTCCGACCTTGGTCTCATGCTTCTCCGGCAGTGTGGTGGTGGTTGCCTTTCCAACGCTTCGACATGTTCGCTCCAGAGTTCGACTGAGTTGGAACAGACCAGCTTGCCAGCTGCAAGAATGCCATGTCTGGGATCAAGGCCGCTCCAGCTGCAAGCTTAGTCTACAACGGCGATTGATTCTCAGGAGCCCTGTTCGCACCTTCAACGTCGGGCATCCTGGCAGCCTGGGAGGCGGCAGAGCTGGCACCTTGCAGAGAGAAACTCCGAGACTCTCACACCCTAGGATAATAGAATACAATATAAAATGTTTTTTAAATGCACATATACTAATAATGCCATTATAGTATGGTTATCGTGTAATTAAATATAATTTACTTTTTTTCGATACATCATATACACTATTGAACAACATATAATAACATGATACGATTTTTGCATGCCGCCTCCGGCTCGTCGCCCCTGTCCAGGTGCCTCACCTCTGGTCGAAACGCTTTTCAGTGCACCGGCTGGGGCCCAGGGCCGCTAGGGGCTGTCGCCGAGATGCTTCTGGCAGGTCTGCCGGCACATCCGTATCTGAGGATGCAGTGGATGATGGTCTGGACATTGCCTGCGCATTTGGGATACGAATGTGGACAGGGCTTCATGAACCGCCGAGGTGAGAACGATGGACCACTGCCTTCAAGGGATGCTGCCTTGTTCGTTTCTGTCAATAATAGCGAGTGGGACAATCAAACAGCAGCTGCTTGCTCCCCCTGCGATTGGAAGCGATTTATCTTGAAGGAGCTACATAGTGAAGTTCCCTCCTAACGATCTCACACCATGAGAAGCGTCATGTGCTGACGCTTTCCTGCATCGAGGGTGGCTTATATTACTTCTGAGAAAGTCTGTGCCGAGCTCTCAAAATGGAAGCGTCTATCCCTGCACATCGCCGAAAAGGGGACTGAAGACAGAATCTGTTGCCTGCGAACTTCAATACATGGCTGAAAATCCTCCACCTTCCGGCAATCTGGTCCCTGCTGGCAAGACGATCGCTCACGAGGCACCTTGCAAAGCAGACCCAGTGGCACAGCACATCTCACTGTCCCTCTCGACTCAAGCTTGCGCCGCGCCAATCAGCAAACCTTTCTGCATTCATGCTGTGGGTTAGGGCGGGACCTCCTCTAGCTCTGTGAAGACGGCGAAGCAAAGAAGGTGGCAAGCAATCGCTCTGCACTGAGGCACCTCAGTGAAAAGTTCGAGGCTGTGCAGGTGAAGCAGGTATCTCGGCACAGTTGAAAGAGCAAGCCGCTCAACTTATACTTCGCAAAGTCTGTCACGCGAAGTTCTCGCTACGCAGCCTCCGCCCCGCCCCGAGGCCCAGCGACGGCGCAAATCAAGGCTCACGGGAAGACGCAGAGCGCAACCTGACTCAGCACGGAGAGTCTCAGGATGATGCCTCCTTCGATAAGAAGCGGAGAAGCTCCTGCCGACTGCAGATTATGGCACCCTCTGTAGCAGCAGCTCTGCACATATACACATACCTGTATACTTGTAAATAAATAAATAAAAAAAAATATATATATATATATACATGTGTGTATCGGTGAAGGCATAGGTATACATAGTTCTACCCACGCAACACACACACACACACATACACCTATACAGGCATATGTGGTTGTGCCCCGGCGCCCCCCCTCCCCCCCATGGTTCAGTTTTTAAAACAATTACACAGGCATAACGACATATGTTCCCCCCCGCCCCGCCTTCTGCAAGTATACACTGATCATGATGTATTTCCCGTGATCGTGTGAACTTCGTTTTGAATGGATCACACGGGCACACACACACACACACATGTGCCTGTGTACGCATGGCCCGGTGTCGACACACACACACACGCACACAAACACATACATACATATCACACACATGCATGTGCCTGTGCCTGTATGGCCCGGTGTAGACATACACACCAGCGCATACATAAAAAATATGGACCATAACTCACACACACACACACACACTTGTGTACCACTTAAACTCCGCCTTGCTTGTGTGGAACAGGTGCGGTCGGTTCTCATTTCCTCTCTCATTACTAATCATAAGAAGTTTTGATTTGGACCCTCCGCACACGAGTAATCGTACTAAACATTGCCTATAATCCTCTTACTACTATTTCTACCTTTGCGCACGAATAATCAGGCTATTTACGGCCTAGGGCCTGTAAGCCTCTCTTTAGTTATCATACGATTTTGGTTTATTTATCATACTAAGTATTGTCTCAAGCCTGAAGCCCTTGTACAACTAATCATACGATTTTTTGATCAGAGCCCCTCCGAGCACAAGTAATCATACTAAGTATTGCCTATTACCGTCTTAAAGTAATACTAATCATTCGAGTTGTTGTTTAGAACCCCCCTGAGCACGAAAAATCATACTAAGTATTGCCTCTAACCCTCTTACACTACTACTAATCATATTACGAAGTCCTTGTAACATAATCATTGTAAACATTGCCTGTAACCCTCTGAAGGTACTACCAATCATACGAGACCTTGCTTTGAACCCCTCCGAACCCGAATAAGCACAGGTAGCGCTTGTACGACTAATCAGAAAAAGCCTTGAGTTGAACCCCGCTGTCCCAAGCCTTCGAGCGCGCACTAGAACAAAGCCGTTGTCAATCCTGGAAAGCCCAGAGAAACCCTGTTGAAGGCCTCATGAAACCCTACATTAACACTCTAAAACCCTTGTAGACCCTCTAAAACCCTTGTAGACCCTCTTACGCTTGTTCCTGTGGGCCCAGCCCTTGTCTTGTTGAGCCTAAGGCTCTGCATGTGAGACCCATATCATTTGCGGGGGGAAAGGGAGGTTAACCCGCTTTGCAACCAGAATCCCCACTTTACAACCACAGACATTGTTCTAGACGTGAGAATCCCCACTTTGCAACTGTGGATCCTCAGAACGCCCACTTTGCAACCCGTCTGCACGTTTGTCTGCATGTCTGCATGTCTTACTGTGATTGAGGCCTATTGGGATCCTACTGGGATTTCATAAACGGGCTTGGTCCTTCCAAAGCTCCAAACAGGCCCGACGCGCCCATTTTGATGGGCGGTGTCCGACAACAAACCTACCTAGCTCCCAATGTTTTGCTAGTGCCTCGAGGCCCCTCAAAGTGTTTTGTGGGGTCTCCAGACCCTGTCGAGGGCATGGGCTATCCAGACCCCGATAGTACGCATATCGATCCAGGTTCCAAAACCCCTCTCCTACTCGCTCTGCTCGGGCATGGACGTGAGTGCTCACACAATCCCCAGGCGACCAAGACACAGTGACATGCCACAAAACCGTAAAATCTGAATCCTTACAGCCCTGACGCTATCCCCACACCCTATTCCCCGGCTCCTAAACGCTGCAGAACCCGCAAGGGAACCCGCTACAGAACTGTCTATTGCAATAGCACAGTATACTTTCGCAGTACTGTACAGTATAATATATACATATATGCTTTGGATCCAGTCCGGCCCCGTCGACCAGTGTGTATGTCCGGCAAAGCTTTCAGCAGTATTTAGACTTCTTTCTGAGGCTTCCCGACGGTAGTCTGGGCAAAGTGGGCCAGCATTATGAGCATGATTTGGGCCGACAATTTAATCCACATTACTATGCCCGAAGCAAGGACGGAGTGGAGACCAATGATGTTTATGATGCGGCCGATTGCCTGGGCTACAAAGCAAAATCAAAGGCCGATCACCCAAAATGGTGCGCATCCTTGCAGAGATGGGCGGGCTGACAGTGAGTGATGTTGTCGGCCCGTGCAGCAAAATGCGCCAAATACTGGGGGCCTGAAAACCGTCTGCAGGACCTGAGGGTCGCAGCTGTGCAGATACTGCCCCTAGCCCTTGCAAACTAGTTAATCCGCGTTGATTGTGGGCCCGTAATGTAAGATGTGGTTCGGCGGAGTTCCACCAGTCGTTGAGGCTGCAGGGTGTACGGCAGCTTAGAGTTGATAGAGACATGTATTTAGGCTGAGCGTAGAGGTCGGCTCGCGTCCTGTGAGAGACCCAATGACACTGCAAATCCGCTACTAAAGGCTCAGCATACTCAGAGCTTGGAGAGAAAGTCACAGAAGCCTGAAACCTTCTCAAGATGCCAGTGAAGGTCGCAGTCCTTCATACCTCCGGCCCACAACAGCCGGCGGCGAACATCCTTCAAACCGCTCCAGGGTGAGATTTCGACGCTTCATAGGCTTCGGAGCTGGTCTTGGGGGATAGGCTTTCGGAGTTCGATGCAGGAGCAGCAACAACGGGAATCACAGTCGACCTATGCTGGAGAGTTGAGGCAACCTAGGTGAAGCCTTGATAAGGGCTGTTGGGTGGCTGGTCGTCCAGGATGACTCCGCAGCCAGGCAGCCAGCACAGAGAGATTCGAGTTTATGCAAGCGTGCTTCGATGACAGAAAACTTGGTCACGACACAGGTCCAGGACCCTCAATGAGGCTGAGACGCATTCATGCAAGTATACACTATATTACACTGAAGTGTACAGCTCGAGGGCTTCCGAACTGCTGAATACCCGCGCATGTTACTCGACATCCGTCATCTGACGTCAGGCACTCAGGCACGATAGGGGCCCAGAAGGGGGAGTTTGATCGTTCATGCTTCACATTCAGGGCTCATGCTCGAAAAACACCGCCAAATCCCGCCCACCCAAACTGGCCAGGCGGTGGCCTCCCAATCCGCACAAAGATCTTCATGTGCCAACGAGAGGAGGCGGAGGTGACCTTTCTCGAATTGCTTTGGGTTCAGCTTTGGTGCCTTTGGTGCCTGCATATGTCTGGCACCTGAGGACTCGCAGGGTCTTAGGTTCGGGCCCCAGCCGAAAGTCTACATGTCAAGTCTCAAACCCTGTTTCCTCAACGATTCAACATTAATAATACCTGTTAACTCTATGGCTCAAGAATTTGAGGCTTCGGGGCTGCGGGATGAGAGGCTTCGGCTTTCCACGTTGTAGTAAACTCAGACTTCCCCAAAACCGTGTTCAGGCGTGCACGCAGACCGGCGTGCACGATTGGTGTACCCGTAAACACCAACAATCCTGACAGACCGAAGACCGCAATTGAAGCCGGGTGACAACTTCGAAGCCGCTGCAGCGATGTGCCCGGAAAGGCAGGGTCTACCTCCAGCCAATCTTTATGGCGCGTGCGTGTTTTTCAGGGCTTGACAAAGTTGTTCCAAGGCTTTTCGCAAGGGCCCTGCAATGTGCTCAGCGTGGCCTAGCTTGGGGGGTAGGCCAAAGCCGAAACGAACGGCGGCGGTTCAAGCGGTCCTGCTCTCAAGTATGGGCCTTCGGATACTGTTTCTGGAAGTAGGTCGTCAGGAAATACCGACGATATCTTGGGATAGATGTAGTGCTTGCCGCTGAAGACGGCTGTCACGATTCGATTCTGCAGATTCTTCCGAAGGCTAGGCATCACAATAGCTTGGAGGATTGAGGGCAAGGTTGGGGCCAGGGGTGCGTGAAGGCCAGAAGCAGAAACCTCACCCATCCAAAACCAGAAATCGCAAATCCACCATCAAGCCTCGAGCCTACGCTGGGCGAAGGAATGAGCGGCTCAAGCCCCTGAAGCCCCGGGGCTTCTTGCACCAATCAACTACTGTAATCACTGAGGCTGGCCCTTCTCACTGGGGTCACCACGTCATCCTTCGGACTAGGCGAACTGCGGCCTACCCGAATTCTAAACTCTAAGCTAAAAGCCATCACTCTGCCGGAACTCTCCCGGATCTACAGGAGCTCAAGGCAAAGAACAAAAGCTACTCAAGCCCGAATTCCAAAATCAGGAGCTGAGGTCTCCCACATTCACGAGCCCTGAGTGATATGACGCTGAAGGTTAGGCTTAAGCCTTTCAAGGTGTCTTTTTATTTCCGAACCTACTTGAAGGAGCGTTTCGAAACTGCTGTGGTCCGGCCTCGCACCCAGCGACAAGGTGTCGAGGCGATGTGCGCAAGCTGCGGAGGACGGCATGCATTGCGTCGAGCTTGGCTGTACACCCTATGTCAGGGATGAGCGTAAACTCACGAATGCCCTAGATGGCTTGAAGATGCCTCTTGACCCTGAGTGGACTTGGTCCCGTTGCTTGAGCTATGCGAGTGCAGCAGTGAGGAGGGCAGCTAGCAGCGTGCCACTGCCTACCACTGAGAGCCAGCAACATCGGGGCCGTGCTTCCCAGCATAAGGGGCACAGTGTCGGGCTTCGCCGCACAAGCTGCTACATGCACGGCTAGGTGCGACCTCTGCGAACAAGTTTCGGCTCGGGCTGCAGGGCTACAGTCCGGCTAGAAGCCTCGAGATGTTCAATATGCATCGCATGCACCCACAATGAGCCGTAAAAGCAAGATTTACAGCGAGAAACTCCGGATCGGGAAACAAGCCCCAGGTCTTCGCGACCCTGTTACTGCAGACTCCTTCTCCTCCTCCACCTCGTACTGTCT